GCCCCCCCGGCGGGCCCTCCGGAATACAGACGGCCCCCCGATGGGGCTCCCAGCGGGCAGCCATGTGGGGCTGAATGTACAGGCCAGCCAAGTGGTCAGCCTCTGCCATCCAGCCCAGAAGGAAAGGCTCCCCCTTCTTCTCACATAAATTATGCAGTACACAACACGCTACCACCACATGCAGAATATTCTGCTCGGATAGGTCCAGGCGGGTGAGGAGGCATCTAAAACAGGCCTTCAACAGGCCAAATGCCCCCTTCACCACAGTGATGTCCATGAACTGGCCCTGGTGGTCAGACACAGCCTGCAGGATGACTGAGAAAGTATCCCTTCTGGTTGATGTAGAGGAAGGCCTGGTGTTCTGGGGCACAGATAGGGATGTGTGTCCCGCAGTTGGGGAAGCCCAGGTTGCCAAACCCCTCGATCACTGAGTCCACATTGGTGAGGTGGATAACTCTGCGAAGCAGCACTCTGTAGATGGCCTTGACCACCTGCAGAGGGACACACAAAACCACCGAGTTTCACTGGGGTGCCAGGGTGGCTGAGAGTGCTCCTTCCCCGCCACTTCCTCGTGCCCCCACACCCAGGAGCCCCCCCCCCTGCTGTAATCCTGGCCACTGCGGGCAGCCCATAGTGCGGGTGGGACAGATTAAACCCTCCTGTGGAGGAGACTTGCACCATCTCTACCCCCTTTTCCCTGGGGCAGCCCATCATCTCCTTGCCCCCCCCCCCAACCCAGACACAGTGGCTGGAGACTGCCATACCTGCATGAGCACTGCTCCAACGGTGGATCTCCCCATGCCGAACTGGTTCCCCACGGATCGGTAGCTATTCGGTGTGGAGACCTTCCACTATAGGGGAATGGCGGGCCTCATGTGCATGTCCCATTGCTTCAGAGCAGAGGCAAGCCATTCACCGAGCTTGAGGAAGGTGTCCTTTTTCATCCTGAAGTTCTGAGTCCATTGTTGGTCTCCACAGCGCTCCAGGATGATGTGGTCCCACCAGTCGCTGCGTGTGTCCAGATGCCAGATGTGGCAGGGGACACCGGG